TAGTGGAGAAATCTTTGTTCTGGTTCACAGCGTGTTGCATTTTCAGTTCAGGATTGGCTGGCTCCAAGGCAGAGGGGTATCACGGAGGAGAAGCAGTCCATGGCAGGCAGAAGGCAGCCAAAGAAGCAAGCAGCGTGTGACAGCAGTGACTGCATCGGTCCTCTTTTGCTCTTAGAGTTGAGAGGGCAGCACTCACACCCAGGGCAGCGCCTCCCCTCATCCACACCCAGAACTCGGCCAACCCAACCAGTGGCCTGACTCAGTAACCACACTCTGGCTCCCAGCCTCACACCCTTGAGAGCCGGCCACCTCTGGAAAGCCCCACCTATGACCATGTGAGGATTTGGGGGACATCTAGACACAGCCGTAAAACTTCTTAAAGGAAAATGAGAAAGCATTGTGCAAACTAACAAGAGATAAATATCCAGGATACACAAAGAGTATAAAAGAATGGCCAGAAAACTCCAAATAATCCAGCTTTAAAATATGAAGAAGACAAATTTATCTTTTTAAAATGCTTAGCTTCATTACTCATCAGAGAAATGGAAATGAGAACCACAGTGAGATGTCACGTCACCCCACTGAGAATGGCCAAGATCAGAATGACAGAAAGCAGCAAATGCTGATGAGACTGTGGAGGAAAGGACATTACAGCTTGCAGGAATGTAAATTAGTGTAGACACTAGGAAGAACAGTGTGGGGGCTCCTTGGAGAAAAAGTACCTCTACCACATGATCTGGGTACCTGACTTCTGGATGGATGGATAGACAGATGGATAGATGGATAGATGGATGGATGGATGGATGAATGGAGATCATAGATCGATGACAGATGGATAGAAATAGATAAATAGATGGATAGATACAGATGATAGATGATAGATATAGATCATAGATGATTGATAGAGATCATAGATGATAGACAGATAGATATAGATCATAGATTGATGATAGATATAAATCATAGATATAGATCATAAATAGATATAGATCATAGATAGATAATATGATAGATACAGATCATAGATAGATAAAGATCATAAATGGATGATAGATATAGATCACAGATGATAGATGTAGACCATTGATAGATGATAGATGATAAATAGATATGGATCATAGATGATAGATAGATAGATAGATAGATAGATAGATAGATAGATAGATAGATAGATCCAGCAGAATACCCATTGATAGATGAACCAATAAGGAGCCTGTGATACATATACACAATGGAGTATAATTCAGCCTTAGGAAGGAATGCTGTCCCATCATTGGCAACAAATGGATGATTGAGATTGACCTTCACACTAAAAAACCAGGAAGAACCATTATCTGATGGCTACCAGATAAAGTCTTGTTTTAAATTCATGCCTACTTACTTTGTGACTCCCTTCCCTATTTGGTCCTGGACTTAATCAATTTTATCTGAGCAATGGTGCTTGTAATCCCATTGGTCAACCATAGTTTTATCCCACTTCACATCCACCTAAGTGAGTTCCCATTTTCTCCACCTTAGCCCCACATGGTTTTACACTATAACAGTCCCTGGAAGAGAAAGCTTCCCAGAGACAACCCACTCAATCCCCCCTCCTGTTCCTCTCTTGGACAGAAGCTTTCTTTTCCAATAAATATTCTACTCTCAAAAAAAAAAAAAAACAAATGGATGAACCTGGGGCACACTGAGTTAAGTGAAACAGGTCAGACACATCAGGCCAAATATCACATGTTCTCTCTCCTAGCTAAATGGTAACAAGTTCAACTTGAGTTGGAATAAATAATAGTGATTCCTAGATGTTAAGAAGGTGGAAGGGAGTGTGGATGATTGGCAGTTGGATGGCGGGTACTGGAGAATAGTCCAAGGGAGCAAGTTGTGGGCTGGGGAGGCAGCTCAGTGGTCTAAGCGCCTGCTTAGCAAGCCCAGGAAACAGGTTTGATTCCTGGCACCACATGCTGTGCCAGCCCTCAGTGTACTATTTGGGCCACTGAAACCGGGCATGGTGGTGCACACCTGTACTCCCAGCACTGGGGAAGCGGAGACAGGCGGTTCACTAGTCTAAGCTGCATAGTAAGACCTCATACCAAATAAATAAATAAATAAAAATTTTTAAAATGAAGGAGTAAGTTGTAATATCTAATAGCGCAGTGAGGTGACTACTGCATATTTCATAAACAAATAGAAAACAGTATTTAGAAGATTCCAAAAGCAAAGTAATGATTAGGAGATAAAATCATAATGACCCTGATTTGATCAGCACATATGTGTACACTACTGAAATATCACACTGTCCCCTATAAATATGAACAATTATTACATGTTAAGAAAAGTCTTGACTGGTGTCACTGAGAACCACAGTAAGAACCCACAGAGGGATGGACAAAGGTCATTGCTCCTGTCCACTCTGGCATCACTAGCTACTCTGAAGGTGGTAAAGAACAGCTCTGGGCTGCCGGATTAGCTTTTCTAGTTCTATCCAAAACATAATCCAGATGGGACAGTCTTTTCTTTATCGCTTTCTTTCCTTCGTCCTCCTGTTCCACAGATATTTCCTTCTGCCAAGCTCTGGCCATACAAGGTTGCAGGATATAGTGACAAACAGCAGCAGAAGCAGTGGTGGTGTCACAACCGACTTTTCCTAAGCACTTGTCTACTTTCAGTCCCTGTGACCAAAACCCCAAGAGAAACAACTCAAAGTAGGAAATGTTCATCTCGGCCCAGTCGCAAAGCTTTCGTGATTAGTGGGACAGGGCAAGGTGGATGTGTCGCGGCAGAAGAGCAACAAGGTGCAGCACAGGGCCACACCACGCCAGCTGGGAGCAAAGCGAGAGAGTCGGAGAGGAGGAAAGGGCCGCGTGTTCCCCCTTTGGAGCACCCCATAACCCGCTCCCTTCAGCGAGGCCCTCCTCTTCTTAAGGGCTCCAAGCATGATCCCTCCAGAGGATTATGCATGCCCAGAAGCATGCTTCAGTAATTTCCTAGGCATCTCTCAAGCCCGTCAACCTCACGACCAGAATGGACCATCTCCAGCGCTGACTGTTGAATAGAAGACACCTTTCTCTACTTTACCTAACTGACAGTCCAATGGAGAGAAATATGTTTGCATATCACTGGGGGCCAGAATTGTCTCAGGTTAGGCACTGTTCTCAGTTGCTTTGATATAGGGAACTGAGTCCCCCAACTCTGAATGGTAGTAAAGAAATTTGAAACCAAAGCAAATACTCAAGAGGATAAATGAAAACTCAGATAATATCGACTTTCTGTATATTATGCTTGCTCCCATGTCTTCCTACCCATAGTCAGATGCGTTATCCATTATGCCACCCGCCCTGTGTTCTTGCTCAGGTATCTTTGAGGGAAAAGGGAAAAAAAAAAAACAGAATGCATCCTGAGAACAGAGAAGATTAGTGAAGGAGATGCAGTGTAAGAATGTTACTGGGAAGTGGTTTTGCAAATAGAGGACAGAATTAATTTGAAGTTAATATAATTACAAGATAAAGTTTGGGCTTCATAATTGATAAAACTATTTAGATTCATTGAAATAAGCTATCAGTTAAGGTGGACAACAGCCATGTCTTTTTACATTCTAATCATCCTAATCTTTCTCCTGTTCACCAAGGGACATTAAATTTTGGTTCTTAAAGCCCAATCCACCAATTCCCCGCCTGCCGTCTCTAAATGCAGTAATACTCTACAAGCCACTTACTAGCTGGAAAACTCCAATAGTATAACTTTTAGCTACAAAAAAAGCATATAATTAAAATATTAGCTTTCTTTGATTTAACCATAATTTTATAAAGTTATTACAGTGACTGGTTATTGTAGGCATCATGGCACTAAGTGACATAATGTTGTTTTTACAACCTGGGATCCCTGTTAGGGGAGGCATTGTAGTAAGAGATCTCTGATTCTGAAAAACTCGGATACCAAAGTTTAGTTGATAAGTGTGATATGTTTAAAATAAAAGAAACTTAGCTAGCTAATCCAGCAGGGTACTGCAGAAATGATTTCTGAAAATTTTCATACCACTGTAAGTTGCTTTGGGGAAAGTAATAATGTTTTGTCAACACATTTGCATCAAAAATGCAGTTACATGAAAGACCATTTGAAAAGCCTTTCTTATTTTTGTATTTATTTTACATGTTACATATATGTCTTGCTTGCTTGCTTTGGTACCAGGAATCGAACTCAGGACCTTGCACTTGCCAGGCAGGTGCTGTGCCACTGAGTTATATCCTTGGCTCATTACATACACATATTTCATATTAGTAATACAGAACAATGGGGTTCATTTTTGTATATAATACATGCATATTTATTTTTCTTTTTTTAAGGATTGTTACATTAGGTGTTCAATCTTGACCTTCTGGGGTCACATGGAAATGGTAGAACTATATTTTGACTATGATTTAAATTCAAAGTTTCAGTAAACTTTTAAAAAGAACAAGACTTAATGTTTAGTCAATTTTTTTAGTCTGTTTTTATACTTTTTTGTAATTTTAAGGTGTGTCTCAAAGAGATGCTTTTTTTCTTTTCTTTCTTTATTTATTTTGTACTTTAGGGAAGGGTCTACACGGTGTTCAGGGTCTCACTACTAGATCGGACTTGTAGTGATTCTCCTGTTTAGAGCCTCCCAAGAGCTGGGGTTACAGGCGCGCGTGCTACCACGCCCAGTCTCAATAGCCATCTCAGCGCACCCCGGGGGTGGGGCCGGCATGGCAGGCACGGGGATAGAACCCCCGGCCCCTGCGCCTGCTTGCAGGCACTTTAATCCGCTGAGCTAGTTGGCTGGCCCTTTCAAAGAGATGCTTTTAAATTGTCCTCTATAACTCAGGCTTTCATACTGCATTCTGTAGGCACCTCAAATAATTTGATGCTTGATTTCGTTTCTTCCAAAATTTCCTATACTTACCAGTAGTAATTCATGCTGGTAGCTTCATTTAGCATTGTCACAAAGGCCAATGTGTAATGTATTATTAATGTGTAATATGTTATTCTTACAGAATCATGAAGTTTCATGTTGCAAAGCGGAAGTTTAAAGAAACACTGCGCCCATACGATGTGAAAGATGTCATAGAGCAATACTCCGCAGGTCACCTGGACATGCTCTGCAGGATTAAGAGCCTCCAAACTCGGTGAGCAGTGGAAACACTGCCCATTGTAAGGGCAGGAGCACTGCGTGACGATAGCTAGGATGAACCTTTTAGTAGACAACGGATTTAGGGTCTACATCGACAGCTTGATTCTAGCGGGCACCTGGACTTCCACTTTTGACACAGAGCCAAATAGTGTACAGCACCTCCGGCGGGGTTTCCTCCTTTTGCATAGGGACAGTGCTAGCTCCTTCCACTCACAGGCTTGTCCGGGGGTTGAGAGTTACCTTGAGGGATGTGCTCTCCTGGTATAAAACGCTGGTAATGACCAAGGGCTCTGCTGATGTTCGGAGTGTTGCTGCTGTTGCGTTTCTATTATCAGCCCTTCAGCAATAAGCTGACCGATCTCCTTCCCAACTATGCAGCTCGTGAAGACAGAGCTTTCTCTTCTCTGACCTCTTGCAGAATAAAAGGCTGCTACGATGCATGAGACTCTCATAAAGTTGGGAGCATTGGAGAGGTGGTCGGAGAGTTGGCCCTGGGCCCTGTGTGGCTGCTCAATCAGCAAGTTTGTTGCCCTTGCTGGCTTCGAAGGCAGCGCCCTTCTGGTTCCTAGTGTCATGCGCAGTGACGGCTGTGCAGCATTCCCAGCAAGCCTCTTGCTGAATGATTAAAAATGCATGAGTTCAATACGTACATTCAGCCAGATGTGACTGGTTGTCTCTTCTTCCAACCAAATATTTAGCCAATTCAAGTTTTTGTAATAGTCGCTTTATTTTCAGGTACACAAAATCAGTGTCGGAGATCAAATAGTTCTTAAAATGTAAGGACTGGGCCTTAAATACTCTTGGTGCTTCCTTGGCATACCTAGCCCAGACAGAGGCATACACAGATTAGACTCTTAGTAAAAGGCCTGTTGATTAATTATACAAATCACAGTTTATTCATTAAGCAGATAATTACTGAGTCTTACTGTGCCGGGCAGATGGGCACCCAGAACTTAAAATATTGCTCTGGGCTTCATAGAGTTATATTAGAAAGAGACAGAGAGAGAGAGAGAGAGAGAGAGAGAGAGAGAGAGAGAGAGAGAGAGAGAGAACATTGCTGATTTCTATGCAGACAAAGTCAACTGGAAAATTAAGTGAATATACACGATAATTCAAATCTAAAACACATACAAAAGTAGGAATGTAGGGGCTGGGGAGATAGCTCGGCAGTCTAAGTGCCTGCCTGGTAAGCACAACGACCCAGATTTGATCACCAGTACCATATGCCTTGCTGACCTCAGTACCCCAGGCATGCCATGCCAGCCACCAAAACTGGGTATGATGGTGCACACCTATAATCCCAGTGCCAGGGAGCCTGAGACAGGAGGATCACTACGAGTCTGAGCTGCATAGTGAAACCCTGTACCAAATGAATATTTTTTTAAGTAGGAGTGATCCCATTTTGGCTGATCAAATTTCCATGGAAATTGCTTAACCTTATCCATGGTCCTGTTATAATCTATGGAAATATGTACGGTGCCCAAGGCTTTTATGAGGCTGAGCTGCTATAGAATTTACAATTAATTTTGGCAGTCTAGTGCAGGCATGCACTCCCAATTCAAATGCCTAAAAGCAACAGTTTTCTTCCCTCATGTCAACCACATATCAGAGATGCAGTACATCCATGAGTAATCTGCTCTACTGATGCAAAATTCCTATCATGATGACTTGTTTGCCTTTTTAAGTGGCTGAATTCAGAACTGCCAGGTCTGCTGCGAATATCTAGCGCAGCTTTGCCTCCCGAAGATCACCCTGGAGTGTCCCCACGATGGAACCAGAATTCTGAGAAAATTAATCTTAGGTGTGATCCATGTTAAGGAATAAGATCCTCAGCTGGATCCCACTCGCCTTTATTTCATCTTAAGCAAATGGAAGATATTTAGGGTTTTTTTGCAAGACACTTTACTCTGGCCAAGGTAATCTGAGCCTTCATGTTATGAATCAGATACCCTCTTTTCTCCGGTAGTGTTGATCAAATTCTTGGAAAAGGGCAAATCACATCAGATAAGAAGAGCCGGGAGAAAATCACAGCGGAACAGGAGAACGCGGATGACGTCAGCATGCTTGGCCGCGTAGTCAAGGTTGAAAAACAGGTATGGTCCAGGAAACAGGGGCCCTCGGAACACTCCAGCGGGCTGTTTTTAATCAAAGTTAGCTACAAGCAAGTGGGCGTGTCTCAATGATTAAGACTTTTTTTACTTCTTTATTCTTTCTTTTTTAAAAGAATAAAAAATAGTAATAAAAAAATTAGAGATAATACAGACTGTCACTAAACAAAATTATAGGAATTCAACAATGGGTTGTTATATAGCATGTTGCTGTCTTAAAATTAGTTGCTCAGAATACCAGCTACAACCATGCAAAATTGGTCAAAAAATCAAAAAGGAGAAAAAAAATTAAAGCTTTAACTGCTGTATTGTCTCACTGGTGTATACATCTTAAAGGAGTAAAATGAAAAAACTGAGTGAAATTTAATCTCCCTTGTGTGTGTACAGTGTCGCAAGACACCAGTGGAGCTCCACTTAAGCAGTAGAAAGTTTTATCTCATTAGTGAATACTCCACAGGAAGCAGCTATCGATTTCCAATAGTAAAAGAGGAACCATCTATATGTCATTTGTGTTTGGGTTATTTGCACTCTCTCTCTCTGGGCACCCCATTTTAAAGTAAGACAAGGACTGGAGATAGCTCAGCAGACTAAGCGCCTGCTTAGACAAGCTCAGGGACCAGGGTTCGATCCCTGGCACCACGTGCTACGTTGGCCCCACCCCCTGCCATGCTGAGCCGGCCATCTCGTCTAAGCCTGGTGGCACACACCTGTAATCCCAGCACTGGGGAGGCTGAGACAGGAGGATCACTATGAGTCCAAGCTGCATAGAGAGACCTTGTACCAAGCACATTAAAAAAAAAAAAAAGAAGAAGAAAGAAAGAATAAAGACAAAACCCTATAAGTATGATAAGCACTGGGTATTTGTTCAGGATGAGGCTGTCTTTTCTCATACAAATACAGTGTTTTAGAAATCAAATTGCTCTCTCCATGGAATCAGGAATAGTCCAAGTATTCTGAAGCACATTACACCTTTCATTTTAAATCCAGGCTCACTCAGGTGGACACACGGCCTTTATTTCACCGTGTAATAAGTTCCCTACTAAAATTCAATGCATCCCCAGAAAGGCAATCAGTAGAGTCAGAAAGGGTCATTTGATGGTGACAGTGACAGCAAGTTGCCTTTGCTGTGCTGACACAGCTTCTTAGAGCATCAACACCCATTTTAAAGAAGCCAAAGGAGGTATGGCAGAGGAGGTGGCACCAAAGCCTAGCGACCCCTCTCCCCTGTCTCCTCCTTTTGGCCTCCTCATGACAGATGTGATCTTCAGTAGGAGTCAAAGCTGCCTTGTCACTTTTACCCATTGTCTTTTCAATTATACCAACACACAGTCATTTGTGTTTTTTCACTGAAATCAATTCGTAATAACAGGTTGTCTTTGTGTGTCTGCGTCCCCCCTCTAGGTCCAGTCTATTGAATCCAAGCTGGACTGCCTGCTGGACATCTACCAGCAGGTCCTCCGCAAAGGCCCTGCCTCTGCACTCACTCTGGCATCCTTCCAGATTCCCCCTTTTGAATGTGAACAGACGTCCGACTATCAAAGCCCGGTGGACAGCAAAGACCTGTCCAGTTCCACACAGAACAGCGGCTGCCTAACCAGATCGGCCAGTGCCAACATCTCACGGGGGCTGCAGTTCATTCTGACGCCCAACGAGTTCAGCGCTCAGACTTTCTACGCACTCAGCCCTACCATGCACGGCCAAGTGGCTCAGGTGCCAATGAGTCAGAGCGAGGGCTCCGCAGTGGCACCCAACAACATTGCAAACCAAATAACCGCGGTGCCCAAGCCGGCCGCCCCAACAACTTTACAGATCCCCCCTCCTCTCCCAGCCATCAAGCATTTGCCCAGGCCAGAGACTTCGCACCCGAATCCCTCGAGCTTACAGGAAAGCATTTCTGATGTCACCACCTGCCTTGTTTCCTCCAAGGAGAATGTCCAGGTTGCACAGTCCAACTTGGCCAAGGACCGTGCTCTGAGGAAAAGCTTTGACACAGGAGGAGAAACCCTCTTGTCTGTACTCCCCACGGTGTCCAGGGACCTGGGCAAGTCTCTGTCGGTACAAAACCTCATCAGGTCAACAGAGGAACTGAACTTACAGCTTTCAGGGAGTGACTCAAGTGGCTCCAGAGGCAGCCAGGATTTTTACCCCAAATGGAGGGAATCCAAGTTGTTCATAACTGATGAAGAGGTGTGTGCCGAAGAGACAGAGACAGACACCTTCGACGGCGCCCCGCAGCCCGCCAGGGAAGCTGCTTCCGCAGCAGACTCTCTCAGGACTGGAAGATCCAGGTCATCTCAGAGCATTTGTAAGGCAGGAGAAAGCTCAGATGCCCTCAGCTTGCCCCACGTCAAACTGAAATGAGTCCTTCGTTTTCCTTTTGAAACATAGTGGTTCCTTTAGCCATACATATCAGTGCATGAACTCTTTTGAAAGCCCTTCTTAAAAAGTTGAAATTGCAAGAATCAGGAAGAACATGAAAGGCAGTTCATAAGCCCGTTATCTTTTAATTGCATGAAAATGCATGTTTAGGGATGGCTGAGAACCCAAGGTGCATCGACATTCACATTTACTAATGTACCTTGAGTTTAAAATCCTGAGATACCAAACACTGCTAATGCTACAGGGTGTGTGAAAATGTCAAGATTCGATCACTTAGAGGATTGGACATTCTATTTTGAAATGTAGGAGTAAATCCTTCCAATTTCAGGCATCTCTGCTTTGTGACTACATACACAATACATTTTCAGAATTAGGTCCTAATGTATATTTAAACATAATGGCTATCAACCGCTGCTAACCATGTATCAAGTAAAGCAGAATTTGGGAATAACAGAGACGGCTGCTTATTTCAAGATGTGCTCGCCAGCTCATTCCCACTCGGTCATTTTATTCTTGATGTAATTTGGATGTCCCTCCTTCGTGTGCTCTTGGTGACGTGGCACTGTGGCAGGAGTTTTGCACGTCGTCTTCATGTTGTCCTTTATGACAAGGATGTCTTTCAATGAGAAAATGTGCATATGGGATTCAGGGCCAGCAGGGCGCACACACTCATTGCTGGACCTATTGGACCGTGGGGAGGCGTAGCCTGTAAGGACGCGGTCAGTTCTAAAAATGGTCACCTTCTGTAGAAGCGTAGAAAAAAGCCGGTGTAACTGGCCTGGATTTTCTGCAGGGCCCTCCACTTCAGGGTCACCCCACCTGCCCTATGAAGGACCCATGTGACTCTACCTTCCCTAGTGTACAGGTAGCAGTCTCGGGAAAGGGATACTGAAGAAGGACAGAGTTGGGCAGGGAGAGCCTGGCAAGAATCCAGACACAAAACCAGGAAGTAGGCAAAGCTCAGAAAACAACTTCCCCCCTCTAAGACAGAAGGGGCGAGAAACCAAAACGAAAGCACTAGATTTTTTTTAGAAAATGATACTTGCTAGGGAATTCAGCTACCTATACATCCCTTATTCTTGTATACAGACAGAGATTTTGCAAAGTATTTATTTTTTAATATGCCCTGAATGTCTTGTACTATTATGTCATACATTTTGCATATGAAAGGCTAAAACTAAACTTCCTTTACTTTTTATACTCTAGTGAATGCTTTCTATTCTTCCCAAGAAGGTCGTCCCAAGACTGAAGTTCCTGGATCCGTTTCCTGGTATAAGTGTTTCTAATTAAAAGCCAGATGGCACTGGCAAAGTCTGCCAGTCCAAACGCTGACTAGATCATGGAAGCAAAAAGACCAAGGGAAAGTGAAAACTGTGTTTCTCAGAAACAAGCAACACTGGCTGCTCATTAGCTATCAGCCTCACTATCTCAGAAGGTCAGAATGTGGGCCAAACTTGGTAGTGCACACCTGAAATCCCAGCACTCTTGAGACCTGAGGCAGGAGGATCGCTGCAAGGTCAGCCTGGGCTACATAGTGAGCTCAAGGCCAGCCTGGACTACACAGCGAGACCCTGTCTCAAAAATCAAAACAAAACTCCAAATTGATGGCCTGTGAACAAGGCAAGGAGAAGAGAGATAGCATTTCAATTCAGCTAAACCCCAGCCACAAAAGAACTCAAGGAAAGAAGAGCTTTTGCTGTAGAAAGCATTGGAGTCACCACCAGAAAAATATCTCCAGCAGCCAGGAAGAAGCAGCAGACAGCGTCGTCCTGCTCAAAGGAAGGAGGCCTCGGAATGCACCGAGTCATCCCAGCTCTCTCCCCACTAGATACATTCAGTCTCTATTTTGCTTTAGAATTTCACTAGGCCTTAACCAGCCTCTATCCCCAAGGAAACCCACTGTCCTCACTGCCTACAAGGAGCTTCTTGGCCTTCTAAAATGTTTGTCCCTTTTGCTAAGCTGCAATTTTAAAAGCGTCCTTTTCCTATCTCACGTGGACTCTATCTCACTCCCGCTGGACTGTGTCACTCATCTTGACTGGTGGAGACGCTCCAGTTAAAAGGATTTCACTGAGCATTTAATTGTGTTCATTCTCTAAGCACAGAAGGCTAGCCAGTTATTAAACACAGTCTCTCATCTGGCCCTGTCTCTACTCAAACTGAAATTGTAATACACCCCCACAAGGACATTGTTTACATAAATAGGCACATGCGCACACCCACACGCATACACACACACACACACACACACACACATTCACACTGACCTAAAGCCAGACCCCTCTCCCAGGCTCGGCAGGTCTCTTCAAATATTAGCCAACAAAGAGGAAGGAGGTAACAACTTTCAGGTAGCTCTGATTCTTGGACATATTGTGTCTCGGGTCAAACCCCACTGGCAGCAGGAATTCTGAATGTATTGGGGACCCCCCCTCCCCCCGGGAGGCCTCACTAGACCTCAAGTAGTGTAGTTCCTACAGCATCGCTGGAGACTGCAGGTTCAGAAACAAAGTCCCCTCCCTTCACTGAGGTCTTAGTCATAGCGAAATGTGACAAGGCGTGCTGTGAAAAGTACGCATCTACTGAAGCCATGAGCATTTCTGTCTATCTCACTCTAGCACAAAGACTCTCTTGGGTGGTAAAAGATGGTGAGAAAACTGTAAGGTCCTGTTTGTATCGGTCTCTGTGGAAACGAAGAGGGTGTCCCATTTACACTTAGCAAAGTCCCATCGGTCGATCCAAATGGTGTCCTGAAGCACAATTTCGCAGAGCACTGAGTGGCCCTGTGCTCTCTCAGTTCCAGTTTGTCTGCGCCCTTCAGCACGCAGGGAGAAGCAAGCGAGTACTTACTTCATCACAACTACCCCGTGTTTGAGGTTCCCTCAGAATTTTTCTATGTCTGATGTCATACTTGCATTTGTGCAACTAAATGAATATCTGTGGGTTGCAAGTTTTGTCTCAAGGAAGGCGTTCTCCCTATCTCTTGTTCCAAGGTGCCTTTATCGCCTCGCATGGATGTAGTGATTCTGCTAGGGGTTCTTAATTTAAAAGCCAAACATGCTTAATAGAG